ACGTGCGGGCCCGGGGAGGCAGTTGTTTTCTACTCTGGAAAACGTCTCCAAAAAAGCTCCCAAAATACATTTCTAGCCAACCTCAATTGTGGTGCCTCTAAACAGCAGAAGGTGAGAGTAGAAACTGAGTAGTAACCTTTGCTTCTGCAATCATCATTTCTGTTAGAATCTCAAGGCCAGGATATAATATCCCAGGGGAGCTCTGGAAGCTGGGAAACTAGAAAACTAGGGGTGGGGGTGGGGGCAGCTAGTTAGGGAGAGAAGACCCAGTCATTACAGTTGGGAGAGCTTGAGTCAAGAAGCTCAGGAGGGGTGCTGAGCTTTCCTGTCCAGGCGTCTTAGGGACTTGGAGACTGAGGGGGAAGCTGCTTGAGTCTTGACAGAAAAATGGGCAAAGAAAATAAGGAGTGTTTCTCAGCTTTCATAACCTCCTCACATTCTACTTCTGGCCAGGCCCCCCCCAGGATGCAATGGCACAGCCCCCCCGGCTGAGCCGCTCGGGTGCCCCCCCACTTTGGGACCCAGCTTCCCCTGCTCCCACCTCAGGCCCCAGGCCTCGACTTTGGGAGGGTCAAGATGTGCTGGCCAGATGGACAGATGGGCTGCTATACTTGGGGACCATCAAGAAGGTAAGATCTTTGACCTCTGACCTGCCACCTTTCCCCCATTTTCCTAATCAAGTTCTGATTCCCATTTTATCCTCTCTGCTCATCATTCCAGGTGGACAGTGCTCGGGAGGTGTGCCTGGTCCAGTTTGAGGATGATTCCCAGTTTCTGGTTCTATGGAAAGATATTAGCCCTGGTGAGACCCTAGAGGCCTGGAAGTGTGCATCCCATGGAAGACAGAAACCTGCCTTGGGGGACAAAAGGGGCTTAAGGACAGGCCCCTGTAACACTGTGTTCCCTCATAGCTGCCCTCCCTGGGGAGGAACTCCTCTGCTGTGTCTGTCGCTCTGAGACTGTGGTCCCTGGGAACCGGCTGGTCAGCTGTGAGAAGTGTCGCCACGGTGAGAGGGCAGGACACCTGAATGGTCCAGCTTGCCCTGGACATTCCAGTCAACCCCTGTCCCTTTCCCACCAGCACTGGTCCTTATACCACCTGCCCTGGCCTGAGTCCCCATGCCACTGCTCTGGCCAGTTTCCTCAACCCTGTAACCTCAATCTCTTCCCAACACAATGAGAGGCAGTTGTGGAATGGGATGTGTGAGTTTGGCAGGCTGAGGGTGGTTCAAGTACCCTCTTTCTTAACCATATGACCTTGGACAAGTTTCTAAAACTCTAGAAGCCTCAGTTCCCTCACCTGTAAAATAAGGGTAACACCCCCACTCCTAAATAGGACCGTGGTCAAGGATTAAATGAAAATGAGATAGGTAAGCGTCTTCCTCTCCCAATACCTAGTGCGCATAGGTTTACAACTCGGTAAGTGCTCTACCAATATCATTATTCAGCTTATCACCAGGACTGCCACGTTCCAAGGGCCCCAGCCCCTGGAGAGGGAGAGGGCACGTCCTGGGTCTGCCGCCAGTGCGTCTTTGCCATCGCCACCAAGGTAAAGGCACCTTCCTCTGGGAGTCTCCCACCCACAGCCTCTCCCGAGCCTTTCCTCTCCCCACCCCTCTGAGGCAGCCTGCCCATTATATCTCTGCAGAGGGGGGGTGCACTGAAGAAGGGCCCCTATGCCCGGGCCATGTTGGGTATGAAGCTGTCTCTGCCATACGGACTAAAGGGGCTGGACTGGGACGCTGGACATCTGAGCAACCGGCAGCAGAGCTACTGTTACTGTGGTGGTCCTGGGGAGTGAGTAATGAGGGTGGGGTTGAGGAGTGAGTGATGCAGTGTGGTGGGATGGGAACTCCTAGGGAGCGGAGGAGAAAGAACAGGGTAAGCAGAGTGCTGAAGCGGGTGGCAGTAGCTGGTGAGCAGGGTTGGGAGCAGCTAAGGGGGAGAGTGTCTGGAGGTCACTGGTCCTCTGTGCCCCCACAGGTGGAACCTGAAAATGCTGCAGTGCCGGAACTGCTTGCAGTGGTTCCATGAGGCCTGCACCCAGTGTCTGAGCAAACCCCTCCTCTATGGGGACAGGTGAGACCCTGGGCAGCTCTCCAGGAGCCCAGGGAGCCCTCCTGATCTGCCCCACCCTCTCAGTTCCCCCACACCTGCCTGTGTTAGATCCATTCTCTTCACAACCTCTGAAGTATTGCTCACTAGTTCACCCCATCCTTACTTTGTGAGTCCTCCATAGCATGGCATAGTTTTCCTGTATAAGGTGTGTTCTCTCTGTCGCCTACATCTAGGTTCTATGAGTTTGAATGCTGTGTGTGTCGGGGGGGACCTGAGAAGGTCAGGAGGCTACAGCTTCGCTGGTGAGCTTGACCTCAGTGTATCTCCTCTCTCAACATCCCGTTTTTCACCCTACCTGCCCCAACCTGCCACTCGGGACTCCCCTGGTTTTTGTAATGCTTCCACAACCTTGACAACTCAATGTTTCTCCAGGGTGGATGTGGCCCATCTTGTCCTCTATCACCTCAGTGTTTGCTGTAAGAAAAAATACTTTGATTTTGACCGTGAGATCCTCCCCTTCACCTCTGAGAATTGGGACAGTTTGCTCCTTGGGGAGGTAAGGGGTAGCTTTGGGAGTTATGGTGGAATAGGGAGGTGTGAAGAAAGGGGAAGGGAGGGATCACTGCGTCCTTGACCCCATTTTCCCTCCTCTTCCCCAGCTCTCAGACACCCCCAAGGGAGAACGTTCTTCCAAGCTCCTCTCTGCACTCAACAGCCACAAGGACCGGTAAGTTGAAGGGAAGCCCAGAAAGATGGAGATGCGGATATGGAAGCCTGGGAGGGGAGGTGCTGCCACCCACCTGGAAGATCATCTCTGGAAAGGATTGAGTGTCAGAAGAGGGGCCCTTTCCTATAGCACTGACCTGTATCATTTCTCTCCTCACCCCAGTTTCATTTCAGGGAGGGAGATTAAGAAGAGGAAATGCTTGTTTGGTCTCCATGCTCGGATCCCTCCTCCTATAGAGTCCCCTGCTGGAGATGGAGCCCCCACCAGGTCACTGGTCCAGGGGGGATGGGGAAATTCTCAGGGTATTAATCTGGGGGTAAATATATACAGAGATGGGGGGGTCTTTGGGGTGTCCGGGAGGGGGCTGGGGGGATAAGGAGGCCTCTTACAGCTTCCCTTCAGGGCAGGGCCCTGGGGGAGGGGTTCCACGTCCCCTGGGGAAGCGTCGGAGGCCGGAGCCAGAGTCCCTGAGGAGGCAGAAGGGGAAGATGGAGGAGTTGGGGCCGCCCTCAGCAGTGCGCAATCAGCCAGAGCCCCAGGAGCAGAGGGAGCGGGCCCCTCTGCAGAGGGCACTGCAGGTACAGAGACAGGGGGAACCTGGGGAATCCCATGGGGCAAATGCTAGTATGGGAAAGAATCAAGGGTTATCTCTCAGTCTTTTGCTCCTGCTTCTAGGCCTCAGTGTCTCCACCACCCTCCAGCCCTAACCAGAGTTACCAGGGCAGCAGCGGCTACAACTTCCGGCCCACAGATGCCCGCTGCCTGCCCAGGTCAGTGCTCCTCCCCCTCCAACTAGGTATGTTCCCCTAGAACAGCAGTTCTCAACCTGTGGGTCACGACAGCTTTGGAGGTCGAACGACCCTTTCACAGGGGTCACCTAAGACATAACAGTAGCAAAATACAGTTATGAAGTAGCAACAAAAATAATTTTATGGTTGGGGGTCACCACAACATGAGGAACTGTATTAAAGGGTCGTGGCATTAGGAAGGTTGAGAACCACTGCCCTAGAACCTCTCCAGTTGCCTACATCCTCTGGACTTTCTCACCCACAGTTCTTTTCTCTCTCCCCCGTGGTTACCCACTTCTTGTCCTAGAGAGGCTTCTAGAACCAGTGTCTGATCCCCAGTATCCTGGGGATGGAAATTTCTCGGGGGTAGTGTTTAAGCTCTGCCTTTGCCAAGGGGAGAATGTCCTGTTGCCCTGCTTCAGCTCCTGACTTTTCTCCCTTCCCCAACTCCAGCAGTCCCATCCGGATGTTTGCTTCCTTCCACCCCTCTGCCAGCACTGCAGGGACCTCTGGGGATGGTGAACCCCCAGACAGGTGAGATTCTACCCCTTTACCTGTGACACCCCTCTCTGCCTCTGTGTTAAGGTCCTCAGTCTCCATTTCTTCATTCCTCTGTCCACATGTGGCCTCTATTTCTGGTCAGTCCTTTCTTGTGTCTGACTAGACTTACAATTGCCTTCTCTCCCTAGGTCACCCCTGGAACTTCACATTGGTTTCCCCACAGACATCCCTAAAAGTGCCCCCCACCCAATGACTGCCTCATCTTCCTCAGTTCCAGCCCCCTCCCCAGGTCTTCCTAGACGCTCAGCACTCTCTTCTCCCCTGTGCCGTAGTTTGTCTCCTGGGACTGGGGGAGGGGTCCGAGGTGGGGTTGGCTATCTGTCTCGAGGAGACCCTGTCCGGGTCCTGGCTCGGAGAGTACGGCCTGATGGTTCTGTGCAGTACCTGGTTGAGTGGGGAGGTGGGGGCATCTTCTGAACAGCCTGCCTCTGCCCATCTCCCCATTCACACACACCGGCACTTTTCATACCCTGACCTCTGACCTCACCTGCAGCTGGGATGTACCTGGGGAGGTAGGGGGTAGTTTCCCTACTGCCCAGGCGGAATTCAGGTAGGGGGGTGGAGAAGAGGCTTTTTCTTCTCTACTTCCTTCATGATTCCTGAGCTTTTCCCCATCCCTCTTCCCATTTCCTTTGATGTTATTTTGTTACAGCTTTTAAAATATTTTTAAAAATTATTTAACCCCTGGGGATGGAGACTGAGGAGGGGAAGGATGATAAAGGATACGGGGCTCTGTATGATTGAAATAAAGATAAACAAATCTAGCAGCTGAGTCATTCTGAGAGATTAGAATGCAGGCACTAGAAGCACTTCTGACCTTCCCAACCAGATTCACATAGGTGACAAGAAAAGGCAAAAGGCAGAAAGACCCAAAGATAGTATTTATTAGGGGCCCAGTTATCCTCTGGAAGTCAGAGGGCATTGAAGTATAAGGGGAATATGTCAGGAACAGGGCTCATCAAGGTGGGACTGTGCGGGAGTCAGAAACTGACTCTGTAACCTGGCGCACCCAATGCAGGTATGGGGAGTTTCCCTGCTCCACAGGCAATGAAATCACCTCAGCCACTTCGTAAGGGTGCACAGAGCTGTGGGGAGAAGGGGGGAGGGGTCACTCAAAGATCACCCAAGGAGCCCAACCCCTGAGACTGCCCAGCAAGTCCCACCCCCCAGTACCCACCCTCACCCCTGCCATTTCAAAGTTCTCACCGAACAAAATCTGTCAGAGCTGAAACCAAGGAGCTTTGGGTTTTAATCATCTAAGGGGTGAAGACAAACATGACTGAATCCGAGGGTGAGGTTTTCAGGATCTCATGAAGGGGAAGGGTCAAAGGGATCAGAGAAGCGACGTTTTGTGGGTGGGGAAAATAATTCTCACCATCAGCACCTCACTGTCCTCCTCAATCTTTCCTTTCCACTCATAGCTGAAAAGGTCAGGGGGAGAGAGTTGTGGGAGCAGAGAGTTTTCCCCAAGAAAAAGGACTGCCAGTCAGCCCCTGGTTAGGTTAGCCCCAGCTCCTAAGACTCACATGGATGTAATCTGAGGGATGAGGTTGACGCAGGCTGCCAGGCGTTTCTCCACCACAGCCCTGAAGGTGAAGAGAGCCCCATTCAGAGCACCCCATGACCGGGATTTCTGCACTGCCAGCCCAGAGACAGGTCTGCAAAGCTGGGGCAGGCAGGAAGCTGCGGGAGGGCACTCTTCTCCAACACCCCCAACCCTCCCTCATGATCATCCTCCCTCCATACTGGGGTCCCCACCTGGCGATCTCCTTGGCGACCTTCTCATTGGGGCAGGTGACAAAGGCTGCAGAGACTGAGCCAGGAACATAACCGGAGTCTGAGGCCAGCGAGGGCTGGGTCGGGGGGCTTCCTGAAGCCATGGACTGCAGGGCTCGGGGTAGCAACAGAAGGCGGGAGGCCACAGGCAGCAGCGCCGGCATCCAAAGAAGCGACAGGAGCAGAGCGGCCTGGGAGCAGGCGGTGAATTCGGTGTCTCCCCACAAATACCCCAGGCAATTGCACCCCAGAAACCTTTCTCTTGGACAGACACTCGGGTTCTGCCCTCTCGCTTCTGCACCCCGAAAGGAAAGGTCCCTGAAACTGGGAGAGAAACGTGAAAAACTATGGCAAAGGCTCGGTTTGTAATCTCTCCTCAGAGGCCGACCTCTGGGGTTTTGGGTGAGGGTGGTGGTCGAGGCTTCGAGGACCGGAAGGGGCGGGGCCGGTCACTCACCCCTCCGCCGAGCAGGATTGCAGGAGCCCGCACCCCTCTCATTCAGCCTATGCTGGAGGAGAGTTGATTATCAAAGGCCACAGGTAACGCCCAGAAGGGACCCCAAACCAAGGAAGAGCGGCCTCTTCTTACCTGGGTGGTGCCACGTGATAAGAAAACGCATACCACGTGACAGTAAGAGCCGCACTTTAGAGCCTCCAGAACCAGCCAATCCCAGCCTTCAGTGGCCCAATTTGCCCGCCTCCTGGTGAGGGAGGGGCGAAGGTAAACTGACCAATCGACAGAAGGATCTGCAGCCGTGTACGGAAGCAGCTCGGCCGTTTCCGGAAACGGCCAGTTGCAAACTGAGGAGGGCCGCTGCGGCGTTCCACTGTCACGTGAGGGGGCCGGTCCTCACGGGTGGCGGTATCTCAATGAGTGACGTGAAGAAGCCAATCGCAGGCCAGCCTTGCAAACCACGTGATGAAAGAGCTGGCGCTAGGAAAGCGGGGCTGGAGACCCCGCAGACCCGATGCGCCAGGTTGTGGAGTGGGCAAGCAGCCTTAGTCCCCAGAGTGTGCCTCATAACAGCCCCTAACTGTTCCCGAGGCCAGAAGAAGTGGGAGGGTCTGAGGTTGACCGGGGCTAAGGGGTGGGGGGCGTAAAGAGAGCGCCCCCTGTCCTCTTGGTTAGGACTGACACATGCCTGGCTTTGGGAATGAACAATGGTAATCTGAGGGGAAGCCAGCTGTCCATGGGTAGGGGAGTGATGATGCAGGCGCGGTGCGGCTAGGCCATGGCTAGGTGAGAATAGACGCATTTCAAAAAGAGCATGAGCCCTGGCCGCTTTGGCTCAGCGGTTGGAGCGTAGGCCTGCGGACCAGAGAGTCCTGGGTTCGGTTCCCGCTAGGGGCACGTACCAAAAAAAAAAAAAAAGCGTGAGATCCTGTAAATGGGATGATGAAATGGGGCTACAGGCGCGTCGGCCTTCTTAATTTGAAACCCCAAAGCTGGAGACAGACTGGTGAATCTGGGAAAAAGTGGAGATGAGGGCTGCAGGTTGGGGATATGGAGAGGACACCAGGAAGTAGCGATGGTCCTTTTGTTCCTTATCCCCTTTGTGTTTCACTCCCCAGGACTGGTCTACTTGTCAGCCTTGGGTCTCCTTCCCTTAACCCATCCCCCTAGGAGCCAGGACCTGCCCTACATAACCTCCCTGGGGCGCAAGCACATCCTGTGACCCAAAAATGGAGAGAGGGGCCAATGAGAGGAGAGAGCGGTGGGAGGATGAAGCACAGTAAAAGGCTCTTGCCACTCCCCCTCCCCAGTAATCCTCCTCCTTTCTAGGTCTTGGGTCTCTGGTCAGTTGGGTGGGCTGACTGGGCATTTCCCAGGCTGATATCAGAGTTCTCTCATACCTACCTCTTTGGGGGTGGGGTCTCCCCGAGATCCCTGTCTCTGGTTTGGAGTTTGTTTCTGAGCTACATCTCTATGGGATCTTTTCCGTGTTTGCATTGGAATCTTTGTCAGGACTGGGTTTCTTTTTGTTTTTCTGTTTTAGGGATTTGTTTTCCTGGGTATGTGATCACTCTATCTCCAAGGTCTTTCAAACTCTTCTTTATGAATTTGGGGTCCCTGAGTTCTCCATCTCCGCACTAGCTGAGTCCCTTCCTTCCTTCCTTCCTTCCTTCCTTCCTTCATTCCTTCCTTCCTTCCTTCCTTCCTTCCTTCTCTTTGTATGTGTCTCTCCATCTCTTCCTTCCCCCTTGTACTCCCCTCCTGCCCCAAGCCCAAGGTCTGGAGTTTTCTGTCTCTGATACCTAAATCTGGGGTCTTTGGTATCTCGCTGAGTCTGAGTTCTATAATCCTAGGTCTGGGTTCTTTCTAAATCTGGGTCTAGGACCCTGGTCTTGGTCCCTGAAATTACCATTTAGTCTAGAGTAAGATTTCTGTGGCTATGGAAAATTTTTTTGAGACTGGTTGCTCAGATTTTGACCTTTGACCCCCTCTCTCATGGGGATCTGGATTTTGGGGGGTTGTTTTTTCCTTTTTTTTCCCCCGTGAGGTTCAGGTCTGTTTTCTCTAGATTTTGGATCTGTGCCTCAGAATACCCCCGCCTTCACCCCCCTGGCATCAAGGTGTCTTTCCCTGGGCCTGGGGTCTGCATCTTTAGAACTGTCCTCTCTCTCTCTGATGTTTTTGAGTCGGGTCTCTGTCTCTCCGGTTCTCACGGGGTAGGGGTGGGGGCTGCAGAGTCTCTCTCTCTCCTCCTCCTGCTCTCTCTCTCTCTCTCTCTCTCTCTCTCGCTCACTCCCCCGCCCCCCTCTCTCCCGGCTGCCGCTGCTGCCGTTGGCTCCTCTTCTCCTCCTCCTCCTCCTCTCTCCTCCTCTCTGCTCCTCTCTGCTCCTCTCTCCTCCTCTCTCCTCCTCTCTCCTCCTCCTCCACCTCCTCCTCCTTCTCCCCCTCTCTCTCCCCCTCTTTCTCTCTTCTCTTTCTCCCCCGTCCCCCGCCCCCTCCCTCCCAGGCCTGATGAGCAGGTCTCGCGCCTCCATCCATCGGGGGAGCATCCCCGCGATGTCCTATGCCCCCTTCAGAGGTACGGTGGTGAGGGGGGGCAGTCGGGGGGGTAAAGGGGGGAGGGGCAGGGCGGAGGAGGGGGCAGAGCCGAGGCCAGGAAGGGGAGCAGCTGAAATGGAGGGAGATAGGAGGACTGGGAAGGCAGGATAGGAGCAACGAGGAAGGAGGAATTGGAGGCCAGAGGACAGGGGTAGATAGGGACCGGAGGGGCCAGGAAGCAGGCCTTAAAGGGGGCTGAGGTGAAAATGATGAAGGGGAAAGAAGAGATGGCCAGAAAGGGTGGGAAGATAGGATAGGGTTAGAGGAAGAGCTGCAGAAATCATCTGAAGGTGGGAGCTGAGAAATGAGGAAAATATCAAGGAAATAGAAGGGCAGAGACGAGAGGGGCTAGGAGGGGGAATAAAAACAGGGTTGCAAAGAGAAGCCAAGAAGGTGGGGGGTCAGAATGTGGTGGGGGTGCTCAGAGAATGGAAAGGGGTAGAAAAAGAGAAGAGGATGGAGGGAGAGAAGAAGGGGACAGATGGAGAGAGAGGGAGGCAGTGTGTGTGTGTGTGGGGGGAGGAATAGAGGGTCCAGATGGAGGGAAGAGAGGAGAGGGAAAGGGTTGGGGGAGGAGAGACCAGGGCAGGGGGAGGGCCAAATATGTGTGTGTTTGTTGAGGGGGGAGGTGGGCAACACAAGATTGAGTGATGGGAGTAGGAGGGTAGGTTAGACTGCCCAGACTTTGACCCTCATTAAGGCCCTTGACCAGTGTAATGTAACCTTGGGGGTCTTATCTGCTCCATTCACTTCACCACTTTTACTCCCCTCCCCCACCTCAATCCTTATTTCCATTTCCCCCTCCCTCCTCTGGTGTCCATCACCTATATCTTTCCCCCCATATGGTGTCCGTTCCTTATATGAGTCCCCCTTCTGTCCTTCCCCTATATCAGTCCCTTCTCTGGTATCCATTCTCTCTCCCTCTCTTCTTTCTGGTAGCTCTCTAATATCTCTTCCACCTTGTCACCCCCTCCTTCTTGGCCCCCTTGTTCTAGTACTCTTATTAGGTCCACCTCATTTCCTCTGCCCCAGTCTAGTTAGACCCTTCTGGTATATTTTCTTGCACTAGCGCTTGGCTGTCATTTCTACCTCCTCTTTTCCTAGATCCATCCGTGTTATTTGTCCCCCAGCTCATCCTGTTCCCTACCCCATTCCACATCTTGTCACCACAAATCTGTGCCTACCCGTTTTACCCCAATATTCAACCTCTTATGACCCGTTCCTCTTTTCTGTCTCCTCTACTTTCTGGGGTGTTGGAGATTTGGGGTACAAAGACACAGGTTTTGGTGGTTGGAACAGGGCCCACAAGAGACCTCCATCTGAGCACTGTGGGATTTTCCCTTTTTCAGCTGTGTTCCTCTTTCTCTTGCATCTGCCTCCCAGAATCATCCTTACTTAAGTCCAGACGATGTGTGTGTGTGTTTCCAGAGTTGCTGCTAAGCTGAGTTCTCTGTGTCCTTCCCTGCTCCCAGGAAGAAGGTGCCCCCTGAAGTTTAACCTGCCTCCTTGTGGCTGCAGCCTGAACCAGTCCCTCCCATAATGACTAGGTATATCAACAGACTCCCCCTCTGGGGGTCCTCAGAGCCCGAGTGCAGTGGGCATGCGGCCTGCACTGTCTGCAGTCTCACAGCCTTGGTCTCCGGATCCAGAGGGCACTGCTTACAGGGTCTGAGATGGCATGGAGGTAGTGAGAGCTGCGAAGTACTGGGATTTCTAGATACCTGTATTCTGGGGATTCATGTCTGACTCTGATCTGCAGGTTGGGTGAATTTGAAGAGCATATTTGTAGACAGAAAGGGTCTGGATTTTTCAGAGCTTTCCTACTCAGGGCTTCAGTTGGAATGAAGCTCAAAGACCAGTTCTTTTCCTGCAATACATCCATGATTAATTATCTTGTAAAGGTGACAGAGTTTGATGTTTCTTCCTCTAAACTCTCTTACACTTGGATACCTTAAGCCTATTTTCTGTCACTTTGATTTCCCTCTTACTTCCATAGGGCCTGTCCCCTGTGTCCCTGTGATGGTGTGTAGCTTTGGGGTTTAAAGAAGAGGCAGTCTTCAGGGATGATAGCATGGGAAGAACAGCAGAACTGGTGAAGGGTGACCGTGGGCATCTTTGAGCATGGGCAACCCTTGGTCTACTGTTCTTTTGTAGAAGTTTTGTCCCCATCCCCAGCTCCTGTCTTCAGAGCCTCGCTCTATGTCACCGGACTGGATCTCCCATTCTCCCTCCCCTCTTTCTTTCATCCCCTCACTGTGCCTTGTGAAGCTTCTTACCTCTTGGACTTGGCTTCCATCTTTCTGTGGAAACTTGGTGGGGAAGGGGGTATTAAATCTTTTACCTCTGAGCTTGAAGTGGGGGAAGAGTTCAATTCAGTCTCTATTCTCACTCCCCGGCCCCTTCACAGCCAGATGCTGACAAGACCCATTCTCACCCTTCCACCTAAAGAACCAGAACTTTCCCCAAAGGATGAGCAGGGTTGGGCTAGGAGAGGAAGGAGCAGAGGATAGAGGAAAGGCAGGAGGGGAGACCTGCTCATGTCTGACTCTGAACAGGTAAGCTCCC